GGTATAGTTGTGGATCATGCATTTGTTTATGGACAGCAAGAAAATAAATTTTCTAAGGAAAAAGAGGGGAAATAGTAAAGAATAAATCTGAAAATGAGAATAAAATTGCCTACCGGCAAGATATTCTATACTCTGAATACAAACTGGAATGTAGTCAGTGGTGAAAATACAGGTTTAGGAATGACATAAGGGAGTGGTGCCTAGAAAGAAGGAAGACTTTAAGAGATTATAAAGTACTATCATCATCGGCCAAGAATTCGGAGATCAAAGCTGGCAGTCCATGGGTGCAGTCTGACCTGCAGACTTACTTTGTTTGGTGCAGTGATTTTTTTAAAAAATCATATTGGTTGCCAGCATTGAAATGTCAGGAGATTTTACATTTATAAAATATTTCTAAGCCAGGCATGGTGGCTCACACCTGTAATCCCAGAACTTTGGGAGGCTGAGGCTGGAGGATTGCTTGAGGCCAAGTGTTCAAGACCAGCCTGGGCAACATGATAAAAACTTGTCTCTACAAAAAATTAAAAGATTAGTTAGGCATAGTGGCTTGTGTCCTGTAGTCAAAACTACTCAAGAGGCTGAGGTGGGAGGGTCACTTGAGCCCTGAAGGTCAAGGCTGTAGTGAGCTGTGATTGTGCCACTGCACTCCAGCTTGGGTGACAGAGCCAGACCCTGTCTCAAAAAATAATAATAGCATTTCCCAGATTTTTGGAAAGCCTGAGTCTGGGAGCATTGTACTCTGGGAACACTGACCTGAAGCTGAGCTGAGGCTGGGCTCCCTTCTCCACAGTTCCCATGGCTCCTTCTTCCCTCACTGGCCTAGATGCTGAGCTTCTGGTTCACAATAACAAATAAGTGGATGTTTTGATTGAATTATTTCTAGTGATGAGATCTGGGACATTATGGGAAATAGTCCAAACTTTTTGTTTTTCCAGCAGTCCTCAATGCACACTAGGAATTCTATCTTACTTTTTTTTTTTTTTTTTTTTTGAGACAGAGTTTCGCTCTTGTTACCCAGGCTGGAGTGCAATGGCGCAATCTCGGCTCACTGCAACCTCTGCCTCCTGGGTTCAGGCGATTCTCCTGCCTCAGCCTCCTGAGTACCTGGGATTACAGGCACGCACCACCATGCCCAGCTAATTTTTTGTATTTTTAGTAGAGACGGGGTTTCACCATGTTGACCAGGATGGTCTCGATCTCTTGACCTCGTGATCCACCCACCTCGGCCTCCCAAAGTGCTGGGATTACAGGCATGGGCCACCGCGCCTGGCCTCTATCTTACTTTTTATGGAAGGGCCTTTACAAAATCATTTATACTTATATACAAATATGTAATATTTGTTCATATGTGATTTTTCTCTGTAAATAATCTTTTTAATCTTTGCACAAACCCTCTGAGATAGGTATTACTAATGTTATTTTTCCATTTTACAGGTAGACTATAAAATACATTCATTCACTGGGCGCCATGCTTAGGCCATGTGTGATTAGATTAAGGCTTGGAAAGCAGCACTTAGATTTTAGTATTTAATGCCCTTCCCACCCCCTACTACTGTTTCCATGATTTCCATCGTAGTTAAAACATGAACTTACATGTTAACATCTCCTGTCCTAAAAAAAAAAAAAAAGCTTGAAGTTTGATTTTTCCAACTGATATAACTTAAAGTTTTATGCTATATTAACCTAAAACCTATTTGGAAAACATTTTCTACCCTATATGACATCGAGGCATGTCAGAAATTCAGAATTATAGCACAAAATTTTATGCTTTATACTTTTGGTTTGTTTTATTACTTTAAAAAAAGCTATAATACCCACAGACAAAAGTGCCTATCTCATACATGTGTAGCTCAATGTATTTTTCACAAAGTGAACACACCCATCACAAACTGATCAGCATCCAAATCAAGGAAAAACAGTACCAACTCCCCCAGAAGCTCCACTTTAACCCCCTTCAGTCATTTCCCACCCCCTGCCCCACCACTCAACCCCCACCCCAGCAATCTGTCCTCCTTAAAGTGTGCAATGTAATTGTGTCCTTAAGTAAATGGAAACCTCAGTAGGAACCTTTGCTCTCTTAATCTTTTCCTTAAGAAATATGAAAAGCGTTGCCTTGAGCCAGACTAAAGTCTGCACCTGACTGTGCCATGCCTGACCGATGAAACAAAGGGTCCTTTTGTGAGAGGTCAGGCCCATTCACTTCTTTACCGTGGTCCTAACAGTAACAGACACATTGACCATCTCAGACTACCTGTTTACATGATCTTGTATGGTTCTAATGCCAAAAACGTACTCAAACATTACCCTTTTTTTTTTATAAAATGACAGTATTCTGCCAGTCTCTCCCAAATTGTTTCAATTTAAAGGTAAGTGCTTTCTGTGATTTAAAGTAGTTGTCCACATGTGTGTAGAATAATTTTAATGTGCTTAGTGTGAGTGTTGTGATGTGACTTCTAGTGAAAATTTCATTTTCTAATGGCTTTCTCAAATTTAGAAAATGATGTAGTTCCAACAGTTCTTTATTGTTATAGATTTCTTAATGAGTAAAATCATAGTTTGTTATGAGTGTTTTATTTATTTCTAAAATAAGGTAAAACTCCCAAGTGTCTTTTTATAATAGCATGATATTATCCTGTGGTTACATGAATACCTCCGTTAACAAGCCCAGTTGGAGTTGACCCAGGTGCTAGATTAGCTAAGCTTTCCACATAATTGAGGATTATGCTGGGAACACAGTTCAGTGATCCCTCCGTCTGTGAAAAGAGGGGCATAGTCTGAAATTCTTTGTCTCAGGAGCACTGTTCTTGTTAGTTAACCTTTCATTTACATATATTTACGAATACAGCTATCAGTCCATAAAATCTTTCTTCCCATTCCCTTTCAAAGTGAAGTTCTTTCTGATAATTTTAGCTACCCAATAATGTATATTTGGCTAGGCACGATATACAATATAAGTCACTCAAAGGGGGAAATCAGGCAAGGCACGGTGGCTCACACCTATAATTTCAGCACTTTGGGAGTCCGAGGCGGGTGGATCACCTGAAGTCAGGAGTTTGAGACAAGCCTGGCCAAAAGGAGAAACCCCATCTCTACTAAAAATACAAAAATTAGCTGGGCATGGTGGCAGGCACCTGTAATCCCAGCTACTTGGGAGGCTGAGGCAGGAAAATCACTTGAACCCAGAAGGTGGAGGTTGTAGTGAGCCAAGATTGTGCCACTGCACTCCAGCCTGGGTGACAGAGTGACACCTTGTCTTAAAAATAATTAAGGGGAGGGGGTGGTGGTGGGAATCATGCAGAAAAAAAGAAAGCTTAATAGTAAATGGTAACTACCTGATGGTTAACCCTACCCAGTGTAATCAGTCATCATTTGAAATAGCTGTCTGCCCTGGTACCGTGTTCCCTTCTCCCACATTCCTCTCTTGCACACATTGCGTCATGATCTTGGATTAACCTAAATGTAGTTCTTCCTGAGTAACTTCTGAAACTCTTTTTAAAATCTCAAAGCTTTATTTACTTAGGGCTTCCTGTCCTCAGTGGGAATGCTATTAGGCCACACCTTTGCCATTGGCCAGAGGATGACACTAATATTTATTACTAAGGCATACTGTATAAACATGTCCTCTTCCTAGCCTGGACTCTCGCATTTTGTATTTTTACAGAAGAAAGGTGAGTTAATTTGTAGAGGCATTGTTTTCCAACCACCTACTAAAGCTTCTGTTGAATAACAGGCTTTATCCTTAGTCAAACAGCCACTAGAAAGCTGACCACCAAAAGCGAATTACAGTGTTGAAGGGGATATGGCCTGAGCCAAATATTGCCGAGGTGAACTTTGTACAAATGGTATTTGAGGGAGTACATGGCACTGATTACTGCTTCACATATTGTAGAAGCTATTATAATAAACTTAATTGTAATAAACTATAAATAAAGTTATAACTTTAGTGAAGTGTGTAAATGAAATGTATCGGGTGGGGGAATCTAATGAGAAATCTGATATCTTAATGACAATCAGACTATTTCACCCAAAATAAGAAAGTTTAAAAAAAAAAAAAAGAGGCCGGGTACAGTGGTTCATGCCTTAATCCCAGCACTTGGGAGGCTGAGGCAGGCAGATCACAAGGTCAGGAGAACGTCTTGGCCAACATGGTGAAACCGTGTCTCTACTAAAAGCAGCTGGGAGTGGTGGTGCATGCCTCTAGTCCTAGCTACTCTGGAGGCTGAGACAGGAGAATTATTTGAACCCAGAAGGTGCGGAGGCTGCAGTAAGCCAAGATCACGCCACTGCATTCCAGCCTGGGCAACAAGAATGAAAAAGAAATCTCAGTGTAGAATAAAGGCCAAAACTAATATTTTCTGCCTGTACTTAAGCATTCCATGATTTACTATCAATCAATCAAATCCATAGACAGGCTCATTTATAATTTGGATTAGCTGGCCAGTAGCCAGATAGACCAAATTCTGTCTCTGTTTGGTTTTCCTTCTGCTTTTAATAACCATGAGCAAACCATTTACTATGTTCTTTTATCTTTTTTCCTGGAATGTAAATAATTATACTTACCTTCTTCATGACTATCACTGAATTGTACTTCTGAAGTAATTCTAAATCCCTATATTTTGGAAAATGAACATAATATGTAGATATGATTATGTTATAATGCTACGGTAGACAAAGCTTTTTAAGCTTTTCTCAAGGTTAAGCGCACTCTCAGACAATCAAGAAAGCATATTCACCTTTTTTCCATTGTAACCTTGCCATAGGTGCTAGTAAGAATTTTGGAATACTAATCATTGAAATAGGGTGGCATGCATAAAATCCTTGTTAATGTAGTAACTTGGTATTCGGCATGGGCTATGAAGTATTTTATTTCTTCAGCTTCAATATTTGAATTAATATTTCATGTTTTTGTTAGATGACATAAATCATTTACAACAACAGTATCAAATCTTTAGTTTTTTAAAAAGACGATCTTACTTTTTGATGGTCAATTTTTGTCACAGCATCATGAATTTCCTGAAACTATAGAAGCAAAACTAGAAGATGTGGATGAGGAAATTAATGTTGAAAATCTGGAAAGCCAGAAGAAAACTGTGGGAGATGATGAAAGTGTTTCTGCAGGTGACCACAGTAAAGCAGAAGGAGGAGAAAGAGCCAATGATAGCTCAGCTGAAACCATTAAAAAGGTATAATGAAAAAAAAAGGTATGATGATAGGTGCTTAAATCCTGAGATCCTGAGAGAAAACATATGGGTTCCCTGGTTTCTGCAGAGGACAAATACCAGCTGCCTTTGGGATCAGAAATACTTCCATGAATAATCTTCATTCATGTGCCATAGGAGAAAGGCCTTGGCTAATTTGTCAGTCAGGCAAACTTTGTCTCTAGAACACTTTCTTTTTTTTTTTTTTCCTTACTGTACTTTAGGTTCTGGGTACATGTGCAAATCATGCAGGATTGTTGCATAGGTACACACACGGCAAGGTGGTTTGCTGCCTCCATCCCCCTGTCACCTACATCTGGCATTTCTCCCCATGTTACCCTCCCCGACCTCCCCTTCCCCCCACTGTCCCTCCCTTGGCCCCCCTCCAACAGACCCCAGTATGTGATGCTCCCCTCCCCGTGTCCATCTGTTCTCATTGTTCAACACCTGCCTATGAGTGAGAATATGCAGTGTTTGATTTCTGTTCTTGTGTCAGTTTGCTGAGAACGATGGTTTCCAGATTCATCCTTGTCCCTACAAAGGACACGAACTCATCATTTTTTAAGACTGCATAGTATTCCATGGTGTATATGTGCCACATTTTCCTTGTCCAGTCTATGGTCGATGGGCCTTTGGGTTAGTTCCAGGACTTTGCTATTGTAAACAGTGCCACTATGAACATACATGTGCATGTGTCTTTAATAGAATGATTTATAATCCTTTGGATATAAACCTAGTAATGGGATTGGTGGGTCAAATGGAATTTCTATTTCTAGATCCTTGAGCAAGCTCCACACTGTCTTCCACAATGGTTGAACTAGTTTACACTCCTACCAACAGAGTAAAAGTCTTCCTATTTCTCCACATCCTCTCCAGCATCTGTTGTCTCCAGATTTTTAATGATCGCCATTCTAATTGGTGTGAGGTGGTATCTCAGTATAGTTTTGATTTGCATTTCTCTAATGACCAGTGATGATGAGCATTTTTTTCATATGTTTGTGTTGGCTTCATATATGTCTTCTTTTGAAAAGTGTCTGTTCATATCCTTCTCCCACTTTTGGATGGGTTTTTTTTTTCTTGTAAATCTGTTTTAATTCTTTGTAGATTCTGGATATTATTAGCTCTTTGTCAGATGGGTAGATTGCAAAAACTTTTTCTCATTCTGTTGTTTGCAGGTTCACTCTAATGATTGTTTCTTTTGTTGTACAGAGGCTCTGGACTTCAATTAGGACCCATTTGTCTATTTTGGCTTTTGTCGCCAGTGCTTTTGGTGTTTTAGTCATGAAGTCCTTGCCTATGCCTATATCCTGAATGGTTTCGCCTAGGTTTTCTTCTAGGGTTTTTATGGTGTTAGGTCTTATGTTTAAGTCTTTAATCCATCTGGAGTTAATTTTAGTGTAAGGTGTCAGGAAGGGGTCCAGTTTCTGCTTTCTGCACACTGCTTGCCAGTTTTCCCAACACCATTTATTAAACAGGGAATCTTTCCCCATTGCTTGTTTTTGTCAGGTTTGTCAAAGATCAGATGGTTGTAGATGTGTGGCATTGCCTCCAAGGCCTCTGTTCTGTTACATTGATCTATATCTCTTTTTTGATACCAGTACCATGCTGTTTTGATTACTATAGCTTTGTAGTATAGTTTGAAATCAGGTAGCATGATGCCTCCAGCTTTGTTCTTTTGCTTAGGATTGTCTTGGCTATGTGGACTCTCTTGGTTCCATATGAAGTTTAAGGTGGTTTTTTCCAGTTCTGTGAAGAAAGTCATTAGTAGCTTGATGGGGATAGCGTTGAATCTATAAATTACTTTGGGCAGTGTGGCCATTTTCACGATACTGATTCTTCCTAACCATGAGCATGGAATGTTTCTCTGTGTGTTTGTGACCTCTCTTACTTCCTTGAGCAGTGGTTTGTAGTTCTCCTTGAAGAGGTCCTTTACATCCTTTGTTAGTTGTATTCCTAGGTATTTTATTCTCTTTGTAGCAATTGTGAATGGGAGTTCACTCATGATTTGGCTCTCTGTTAGTCTGTTATTGGTGTATAGAAATGCTTGCGATTTCTGGCCAGGTATGGTGGCTCAAGCCTATAATCCCAGCACTTTGGGAGGCTGGGGAGGGTGGATCACAAGGTCAAGAGATTGAGACCATCCTGGTCAACATGGTGAAACCCTGTCTCTACTAAAAATACAAAAATTAGCTGGGCATGGTGGCGCACGCCTGTAGTCCCAGCTACTCAGGAGGCTGAGGCAGGAGAATTGCTTGAACCCAGGATGTGGAGGTTGCGGTGAGCTGAGATGGCACCATTGTACTCCAGCCTGGGTAACAAGAGCGAAACTCCGTCTCAAAAAAAAAAAAAAAAAAGAAATGCTTGTGATTTCTGCACATTGATTTTGTATCCTGAGACTGCTGAAGTTGCTTATCAGTTTAAGGAGATTTTGGGCTGAGATGATAGAGTCTTCTTAATATACAATCATGTCATCTGCAAATAGAGACAATTTGACTTCTTTTCCTAATTGAATACGCTTTAAGGTTTTTTTTCTTGCCTGATTGCTCTGGCTAGAACTTCCAATACTATTTTGAATAGGAGTGGTGACAGAGGGCATCCTTGTCTAGTGCTGGATTTCAAAAGGAATGCTTTCAGTTTTTGCCCGTTCAGTATGATATTGGCTGTTGGTTTGTCATAAATAGCTTTTATTATTTTGAGATATGTTCCTTCGATACCTAGTTTATTGAGAGTTTTTAGCATAAAAGGCTGTTTGTTAATTTTGTCGCAGGCCTTCTCTGCCTCTATTGAAGTAATCATGTGGTTTCTGTCTTTGGTTCTGTTTATGTGGTGGATTATGTTTAGAGACTTGTGTATGTTGAACCAGCCTTGCATCCCTGGGATGAAGCCTACTTGATCATGATGGATAAGCTTTTTGATGTGCTGTTGCAGTCGGTTTGCCAGTATTTTATTGAAGATTTTTGCATCTATGTTCATCATGGATATTGGCCTGAGGTTTTCTTTTCTTGCTGAGTCTGTACCGGGTTTTGGTATCAGGATGATTTTGGTTTCATAAAATGATTTGGAAAGGATTCCCTCTTTTTGTATTGTTTGGAATAGTTTCAGAAGGAATGGTATCAGCTCATCTTTGTACGTCTGGTAGAATTCAGCTGTGAACCCATCTGGACCTGGACTTTTTTTGGTTGGTAGGCTATTAATTGCTGCCCCAATTTCAGCCCTTGTTACTGGTCTGTTCAAGGTGTCAACTTCTGCCTGGTTTAGGCTTGGAAGGGTGCAAGTGTCCAGGAATTTGTCCATTCTTCCAGGTTTACTGGTTATGTGTATAGAGTTGTTTGTAGTAATCTCTGATTGTAATTTGTATTTCCGTGGAGTCAGTGTTGCTATCCCCTTTATTGTTTTTTATTGCATCTATTTGGTTCTTCTCCCTTTTCTTTTTTATTAATCTGGCTAGTGGTCTGTTTTGTTGATCTTTTCAAAAAACCAGCTCCTGGATTTATTGATTTCCTGAAGGGTGTTTGTGTCTCTGTCTCCTTCAGTTCTGCTCTGATCTTAGTTGTTTCTTGTCTTCCGCTAGCTTTTGAGTTTTTTTGATCTTGCTCCTCTAGCTCTTTCAATTTTGATGACAGGGTGTCGAGTTTAGATCTTTCCTTGCTTCTCTGGTGGGTATTTATTGCTATTAATTTCCCTCTAGACACTGCTTAAATGTGTCCCAGAGATTCTGGTACATTGTGTCTAAGTTCTGGTTGGTTTCGAAGAACACCTTTATTTCTGCCTTCATTTCATTGTTTATCCAGTTGACATTCAGGAGCCAGTTGTTCAGTTTCCACAAAGTTGTGTGGTTCTGAGTTAGTTTCTTAATTCTGAGTTCTAATTTGTTTGCACTGTGGTCTGAGAGACTGTTAGGGTTTCTGTTCTTCTGCGTTAGCTGAGGAGTGATTTACTTCCAATTATGTGGTCCGTTTTATTAGAGTAGGTGCCATGCGGTGCTGAGAAGAATGTATATTCTGTGGATTTGGGGTGGAGATTTCTGTACATGTCTATTAGGTCTGCTTGGTCCAGATCTGAGTTCAAGTCTTAGATATCCTTGTTAATTTCTGTCTCATTGATTTAATATTGACAGTGGAGTGTTAAAGTCTCCCACTATTATTGTGTGGGAGTCTAAGTCTCTTTGTAAGTCATTAAGAACTTGCTTTATGTATCTGGGTGCTCCTGTGTTGGGTCCATATATATTTAGGATCGTTAGCTCTTCTTGTTGCATTGATCCTTTTATCATTATGTAATGGCCTTCTTTGTCTCTTTTGATCTTTGTTGGTTAAAGCCCATTTTATCAGAGAGTAGTATTGAAACTCCTGCTTTTTTTTTTTTTTTTTTTTTTGAGACGCAGTTTCACTCTTGTTACCCAGGCTGGAGTGCAATGGCGCAATCTCGGCTCACCGCAACCTCCGCCTCCTGGGTTCAGGCAATTCTCCTGCCTCAGCCTCCCGAGTAGCTGGGATTACAGGCACGCACCACCATACCCAGCTAATTTTTTGTATTTTTAGTAGAGACAGGGTTTCACCATGTTGACCAGGATGGTCTCGATCGCTTGACCTCGTGATCCACCCGCCTCGGCCTCCCAAAGTGCTGGGATTACAGGCATTAGCCACTGCTCCTGGCCCCGAAACTCCTGCTTTTTTTTTGCTCTCCATTTGCTTGATAAATCTTCCTCCATTCTTTTATTTTTAGCCTATGTGTGTCTTTGCACATGAGATGGGTTTCTTAAATACAGCACACTGATGGGTTTTGACTTTTTTTTTTTTTTTTTTAATTTTTTATTGGATTATAGGTTTTGGGGTACATGAGCAGAGCATGCAAGACAGTTGCTTAGGTACACACATGGCAGTGTGCTTTGCTTTTCTTCTCCCCTTCACCCACATTTGGCATTTCTCCCCAGGCTATCCCTCCCCACCTCCCCCTCCCACTGGCCCTCCCCTTTCCCCCCCAATAGA